TTTTTCCTGATGGGTTCACAATGCTGTATATACAGTACATGTTTTTACAATTTATTACAAGAACCCCATTGCAACACTACAGTATATTCCATATTGTTCTTCTAGCAGCTACAAATACAAATTCATATACACGTGGGCGGTAGTAATTGGTGAAATTTTGATTATGGTACTTGGATATTTTGCTGGTATCAGAAACAGATCATTCTATTCGGTGACCCATTTTCAGTAAAGAATTTTAGGGCCAAGGTGAAGAGGCAGTAACTGCTTTAATATTATAGATGTATGCCAGGGTCATGCAGGAGGGCAAGATTATAATGTTAAGAGGCGTGTCAACTCGGAGTATAGGCATATTTTAAGTTATTAGTGCACAGTACAATACAGTTATGAAAACTTGATAAAACTTCTATTGTGATGTGTGTGACAAAACTGTTAACAATGAATTTGGACAAAAGTAGTGTTAGTGTGGCGAATGAGAGAAAATGGTGTGTGAACTGGATGTATTAATTAAGTGGATGTGTTGTAAGTATGCAGGCGATGAGTCACAATAACGTGGCTAAAGTATGTTGACCAGACCACGCACTAGAAGGTGAAGGGACGACGACGTTTCGGTCCGTCGTGGACCATTCTCAAGTCGATTGTGAGATTTGCTTGACAATCAACTTGAGATTGGTCCAGGACGGACCGAAACGTCGTCGTCCCCTCACCTTCTAGTGTGTGCGGTCTGGTCAACGAGTTGTAAGTAGTAAATGATTTTAAATTCCAAATACTGTACAGTAATTCAGTACATACATACATACATACATACATACATATAATGTAATATTTTCCCTTGTAAAATAATTTAAATATGGTCTTTATATTGTATATTATTTAATAAATAAAAATTAAGAATTAATGAAATTGCAGAAAGCCTATTGGCCCATACGAGGCAGCTCCTATTTGCATCCACCCAACTCATTCATATAAATGAACATAACATAAGAACAAAGGCAACTGCAGAAGGCCTATTGGCCAAATGTGTATATCTAACCTGGAGGCCTGGTCGAGGACCGGGCCGCGGGGACGCTAAGCCCCGGAATCATCGCAAGGTAACCAATGCTTGAAACCAGTAATCCCATGTCTTTTGTGTTACCTGACAATTTGTACCATAAATCAAGCAACCCTACTTACAAACCAGTATTCACCCAGGTCTTTCCTGAATCTAAACTTTGAAGGTCTTCTCAAGTGTTATATTGTTCTTGATGTCCACAAATTTATTGTTACCAGGTGTTAATCAGGTCAGCTTAGTGAACGATGCAGATATCACCAGAATTTTGTGTTCTAGTGCTAAGGATATTTGCTTACATAAATATACATAGGCTACACGTTCATCTTGGTGAGGGAGGGCGGGGGATATCCGATAGGTTATCTCTGGTCATACCTTATCATGCTCAATTTCATGTTTACCACCAGATAACTATGATTATATCCATCCAATCCCCTTAGATATTGATAATGGCATACTATGGCTAGCTTTTTACTCATCGTGCTCGTCACCGAACTTACTAAATTGTAACAGTTGAAACTACAGTACTGTACTGTATTGTTTTATGCAATACATTGAGTGTTCTTCATATTGGAGTAGGACATAATAGCCCACTGGTTAGCCATTTTAGAGCTAATCTTAAAATTGTCAGAGTTATGATCTTGGGTAATAATGTTGCAACAAATAAGGATAGAATAGTGTGCAACAAGAATTGTACACTACTTCATTCAACCTGTCCTCAGGGAGGAAGTACCCTGGAGGTAATCACTTCAAGACCATTATGTAATTAGTGCTATTAGCCACTCCCTATCCATGGTTAGGTTAGGTCAGGTCAGGTTTTATTACACTTGGTTACGTATACATGTGTATACGTAACGTGTATTCTCAAACATGAAGTAAGAAAACTATTTTAGTATCGCCTAGAATTTCATTTACAGCAAACCAAATTCTTAAGACTTTCAAAGAAAAAAGTAATGTGTAGATATTTGATACATTAAACCAACAATTTATAATACAAAACTTAAATATATTCTCTGTTTAGGACAGGTTCACTTGCCAGTTTAGAAGTAGACTATTACTAGAACAGTAATATGCTTTCAGGCCATCATAAAACTATCCGGTTGGTGTGAAAATGGGTTTGGCGTATTTGGTAATACTGTAATTTAATAATACAGTAATTTATTGTCCAGGGGGGGGGGACAGGAAGCCAGAATGTATTCATACACGTTTTGGCTTTTAGTACAGTACTGTACTGTACTGTATAAAGAACGGATTATTTGAATAATGGTTTTCCTGGAAAAAATGATTGGTGGAGCAGTCTCCAGATTGTCAGCGTGTTTGTGTTGTGATAACGTCACAGCTAGGCGTTAGTTGGTTTTGGAGTTGGCTCATCACGTTTTTATAGTAAAGATAATTTTATATTTTCTTTCCAAATGTAAAATGTATAGTATTTTGAGTCATGTACCTTAGCATTATGAATATGCCTGACATTTCTCACATACCAGTTACATTGAAACAAATGCATTTTAAGATACAGTACTGTATTTGGAGTAAATTTCACATGATTTACATTTTGCATGATCAAAAACTAGCATCCAGTATACAGTGGAATCTTTTAAATCTGGACACTGTTATAACAAAACCTATATACATTGCTGCATTATATCCTACTATAAGCTCAGGAATATAATATTCTATTATAATTATAGAGGAACATAGTTATTGTGGCTGGGCAGTAGTGGGAGTACAGTACAGGTACTTAAACTGTATTGTACTTCAAAAGGTCACTTTATGCATTTATATGTCACATTTGCCTGGTGTTCACATTTAAGCTGCCAATAATTACACTGTATTTTTAAAACTGCTTGATTATAAGATCCTTTGTGGTGAAATTATCTGTACATTACTCTTATGTTCTGAGAACATTGATTTATGCCCTTTTCTCTCGTGACATTTTCTTCCATGATAAAGGCTGAATATAATAAAAACAGACTCATGCCTTGTTTTAGATCATTGACATTTGGTAGTGCTATTATGGATCTCTTCAGTGCCTAAAGTGAGATATCACATGTGAAATTTGAACTTCAAGGTGGCCATGATCCATCAGACACTTTTAATCCATTGTTCCCTGAATGTGCCATTAAAACTATTTCAAAGCGCATAAGGCTCACAATCTTGATTCAAGAGTTCTCTTGTGTTTGATTGCAGCACGTGCAGATATGCCTTTTAGATCTACATTTTCAAATAACTGTTAAAACCTTCTAATGATCTTTGAAAATCTCTGCATGCATCATAGCATGAAGTGGATGCTGTTTACTTTCTTCTCATTGCACTTTGAGCCCTAAGTGTAATAACAATAAATAAATGCAGTCAGTGTTCTCTTAGTGGAGTCATGCCCACATAACTTCACTATTTCTGACAGTCATTGTTTGCTCCACCTCTTACTAAATAAGACACCATCTGCACAGGTGGTGCATGTTGTTGTTAAAGATTCGCTACCTGGAATAAAGTTCCAAGTAGCACAGGCTATGGTGAGCCCGTAGTTGGTGCAGATGGTGGGCATCTATAGAGGGCCTGGTGGCTGAGTGGACAGCCCTCGGGATTCGTAATCCTAGGGACCGGGAACTGATCCCCGGCAATGACAGAAACAAATGAGCAGTTTCTTTCACCCTGGTGCCCCTGTTCACCCAACAGTAAATATGTACCTGGGAGTTAAGACAGCTGTTTTGGGCTACTTCCTCTGTGTGTGTGTACTCACCTATTTGTGCTTGTGGGGGTTGAGCTTTGGCTCTTTGGTCCCACCTCTCAACTGTTACTAACTACACTACTTTTTTTTTTCTTCCACCCCCCCCTCCCCCTCTCCCCAGGAAGCAGCCTGTGACAGCTGACTAACTCCCAGGTACCTATTTACTGCTAGGTAACAGGAGCATCAGGGTGAAAGAAACTCTGCCCATCGTTTCTCGCCGGCGCCGGGAATTGAACCCGGGCGACAGGATCACGTGTCCAGCGTGCTATCCACACAGCCACCGGCTCCACAAAATGTGTGTGTGTGGAAAAAGTTGATTGACAGTTGAGAGGCAGACTTTAACTGGAGCAAACGGGAAGAAGCCTTAAACTACAGACTTATCTTGCTGACACGCATTGCATGCAAAGTGTTGGATAAAATAATTGAGAAATGACTTTCAGCCCCACCCTGTGTGGGGAAGTAAGGAGGCTGCATGCAATACCCTACTTGCATGCACTGTAAGTAGGGTAATGTCAGCAGCATATTGGAAACTGGTAAACATAGCAATGGATTTCAAAAATTTAAAAAAGCATTTTCAATACAATTTACAAACTCTGTGAAATCTGTATGTGCCTGCACGCTACAAAGACAACCAGCTTCATAGACCACTCCTCCGCCAAGGAAGCCTAACTGCAGGTACAGATATACGAGAATAACTCAAAATCATTCGCAGGCCAAAAGTATCTTTCCAGGCAAAAAATACTGAATATTTATTAAAATTCTAATGGCTTTGAATTTTAGAATAGTAATTGAATATAGACTGTATTTCAGTGTAGGCCTCTTAATTCAATGCAAAGATCCAACCTTGGGTTAAGCTGGTGAAGTCTTTGTATGGTAGTATTGTACTTAAATTAAATAGTCTCCGTGGTATAGTGGTAAGACACTCACCTGGCGTTCCGCGAGCACTTTGTCATGGGTTCGTATCCTGGCTGGGGAGGATTTACTGGGCGCAAATCCTTAACTGTAGCCTCTGTTTAACTCAATAGTAAAATGTGTACTTGGTTGTAAAAACGATTCTTCGCGGCAGGGGATCGTATTCCAGGGACCTGCCCGAAATGCTACGTGTACTAGTGGCTGTACAAGAATGTAACAAATCTTGTATATATCTAAAAAAAAAAAATTACTGTTTATGCATTACAGTAGGCTAACCACACACACAGTAAAATAACCACAATATTTTCCATTCTGCAGGCCGTGAACGATCATCATCCTCAAGCACGGATGAACCGTCCTCGGGTGGTGACGACTCTTCTTACCTTCGGGCAGCAGCAGCAGCAGCTAGGAAACGACGAGGAAATCTTCCCAAGGAATCTGTTAAAATCCTGAAAAAGTGGCTCTATGACCATCGTTACAATGCCTATCCTTCAGACGAAGAAAAACTGCAACTATCACGTGCAGCTAATCTCTCAGTTTTGCAGGTACAGTACTGTTCAAGAACTTGTGTTTTCTAACATCATTGATAGAAAAAATGCAATTGGTGGATACACTATTTAATAATGGATATGATTCCCAATAATAGGTCATGGAAATTACATTCTGCTAAGAATTGCAGAGTCAAATAGCAAGGAATATATAGAGTATATGTGCTTGTTTAATATTACAATATTGGTAACTACTGTTCATATTAATACAGTGGCCCCTCTGTTTATGAATTTAATCTGTTCCCAGAGACGATTTGCACCCGGAAATGAATTATCTAATAAGAAATAATGTAAATTGAATTAATCCCTTCCACACTCCCAAAAATATTAACTTCAAAATATATTTCATACCTAATAAACACACATATTTAGTACTATAGTATATACAAGTTATAGCTTACCTTTATTGATGACTTGTTAGCGTATGGAAGACGGTGAGGAGAAGTGTTAGTGCTTGGATGGGGAGTCCCCTTCCAGTTTATCATCATACATTGTGCCTGCATATCACTAGGACCTGGTTGTGGCTCACTGCTTGTTTTTCTCACAAAAATCCTTTCCATATAGACTTGTTTTCCCTACGTTGTAACACTTGTCTGTAGTGAGGCATCACAATGTCATTAAAATGGTTGAGGCAGTGGCCTACTTCAGCTTGCTGTGGGCGAGTCATTTCAACAAAAGTTTGCATTTCTTTCCATAGTCTACACCACTTCTTAATTGTTGAGAAAGGGACATTCTGTACTGCCTCCTCCTCCCTTGAAGAAATTTCCTCAGCTGTCTCTTGTTGCTGCTATTTATGAATTCTAGGAGTTCTGTGATAGTTATTCGCTGTGTTCCTCCATCAACTCGCAACATTGAATGCCGCCACCTCTCTTTCTAAATTTCTCAAACCATCCCCTGCGCGCCTTAAACTCTCTCGTATCTGCATCACTCGTTCCAGGGGTTTCTTTATAAGATCTTCATACAATAGCCTTGCTTTTTCACAAATGATGACCTTTGAAACACTATCACCTGCTAACTCCTTGTTGTGTATCCAAATTAATAACTTTTCAACATAAAGTGTTTGTGTTCTTTGTTTCGTGATTGTTGATATGCCTTTTGCCACTTTAGCACTCATAATGTTCTTTTTCTTAGCAATTACAGTGCATATTGTTGACATAGATTTGTTGTACTGCCTAGCTAGTTCAACAACCTGTGTACTATTTTCATGTTTACAAAAGATTTATGTTTCCTCTATGGTCATCCTCACATGTGTTTTCTTAGGTTGAACCATACCACTGACTTTCTTGGGACCCATGGCATGATATATACAGTAATAATTACTTTTATGCTCAAAACTCAAAAAAAAACCAGAAAACACTGTAATTCTTTACAAATACAGTACTGTAATTCAAGCGCAATTGTCACTAAGCGAGAGGCACTAGTAAACTGAAGCGTGGGCGACCGTGCCACCAGGAATCATGCGCAAGGTTGCTAGTGTTATGATACTCCTATACGCGTATAAACAAACTACGTAACTTGATGCAAAGCTCATAACCCAATTAAAATTTTACAAAGAAATTGGGCTCGTAACCCGAAAAATTTGTAAAGTGGGACATTCATAAGCAGAGGTGTCACTGTATTACTGTCTGTTTTACTGTTGTCCAACATATGAAGAATTGTGAAGAGAGAGTTGCAGGAGTTCTACTCCACAAGCCCGGCCTGGGGCCAGGCTCTCATTATAGTCTCTCATAACATCATCATTATATGTGTGAAACTTATTCAAAGCTTAAGTTGTATATTTTTCATATAGTAGGTCTACTTTAACTTTATTCACTTTAACATGATAAATGTAAAAGAATTTTTGACAGTGGTCCTATATGGTAAGACCCTTTTATAATTTTTTTAGGTTGATAGAAATGTAAGTAAGCTAACTTAACATTAGCTAGCATTACTGCTTTATTAAATAATTGTGGAAAATTATACCAAAAATCTTCCAATACAGTAGTGCTTTTCTGGCATGTTCACATAGTCATACCCAGAAGCAGATTTTACTGTTGTCATTATATGTATCTAAGTGTGTGTATATTTCTAATATTACTGTATGCTGTATCCATTTATACTCTAGTAATAGAAAAATAAATGTTTATTACTGTTTGCATTTGTAGGTTAGAAGAGTATTATACTCTGTCCTTTCTTAACTACCTGATATGATGACCAAACCACACACTACAAGATGATGAGACGGTGACGTTTCGATCTGTGCTTTCTTCTAGGAATTGCCTCCTCTTACCTGCTCCTCACTAAGACTGTTGCCTTACTTAATGCCCGTGCCTCCCTCGCTCCCATCACAATTGACTTGATAATGGTCCAGGACGGACCGAAACGTCATCGACTCCTCATCTTCTGGTGTATGGTTTGGTCATCTTATTCAAGTTATATAAAATATACATAACTAGCTAGCACCTGAATGCTGCCACCTTACAGCCGAGACCTCAGTCCACCTTCAGCTATCAGATCAGTTCATCGACTGATGCCTAGCAAACGTTTTGCATACTAATAACTTTTTGAATGTGCATTATACGAAAGTTAGTTAACCACTGCCATGTATATTTTTAAGTAAATTATTATTTTGTATATATGAAATAAAAAAAGATAATGGCTATGCAGAAATGCAGAACAAAAATTTAATCCTAGAAGAGGATTCAAAAGGTAGAGCAGGAAAAATTTATGGTATTGGAACAGGCAGAAAATTATTCACAACAGAATCATAGTTACTCTACACCTTGTAACACCAATGCCACTGTGACATGCAACAACAACAATTAATAATGGCCAGAACAAATTCAAGACACACACACATACACCTACGTAAACTAAATAATTCAATCTCATTTATCATTCCCAACGTACAGGTCTAAAACAGAGACAAATGCAGTATTTAGAGTATTCACAGAATCCCACACTAGAGGTTACATGGATAGTTAGGTTTGGATTCCAGATTATGATGTGATAAGAGTAAATAGAATGCATGGAGGAGTTGGTCTCTATGGTCAAGAATCACTCCCCTGTACATAATTATTAAGATCATCAAATGAAGTACTGTAGTGAATACATTAGGTATCAAAATTGAAAACTTCTTTGATACCTAATCTACTATAATCACTTACTATCCACTACTATAATCACCTAGGAATTATACTTGTATACAAAGCTCTAGATGCAACGACAAATAAATTTTCTGAATTGATGATCAATATCTGAGAAATACTTGGAAAACCCAGAAAGCTGGGTACAAAACTCGGTCCCGCAGAGTACAATTCTTGCACCGTTACTCTTCCACACACATATAGAAGGCAGACAGGAATGCAAGTCAGTTTCATGTCATCCTGCATTAACAACACCAAAATGAGTAGGAACATTTCCTACAAGGAGAGTGCTGCAAAGTTGCAAATTACAAATTGAGAAGTTCGTACAATGTGCAACATAAAGAATATAACATTAAAGTAAACGATGACAAATTCTAATTAGTTTGGTACAAAAAACTTTGCTGTTTCATAGCACACCTTGGAATAATATCAGAAGACCTAATGTTTAGAGAGCACAATAAAGCAAACGTTGTAGTGTAGCAACAGCCAGAAAAATAATAGGGTGGATAATGAGAACATTCAGTATAAGAGGTGTCACACCAATGATGGCACTTTTCAAAACATGTACTATTTTGTATGTAATCTTGTTCAGTCTTCACATCTCGCATCATCTTTCAAAGCTGATGAGGATGTAAAGTTGGAAAATTTACAGCAATTTTTCCTCTACTGCATGCATGAAATCAGTGAAGCGCTTAAACTACTAGAACCGACTCAAACTGTACCCCTTGGAATGGGATGAGAGAGAAATATCTTGTTATGTATGCCAAGGAAATACTGGAATGTCAGATTCCAAACATGCAACATTTCAATATACAGTACTATGAAAAGAAATGTACAGTAGTTGGAAGTGTAAAATTTTTAAAAGTTGAGAATTAACTTTCACCATCTAATTATTAAATTTAGGGCCATCATTCTTCAGGTGTGTAACTGGTTTATAAATACAAGTTTTTTCTTTCAGGTTTGTAACTGGTTCATAAATGCAAGACGGAGGATCCTGCCAGAGATCATACGCCGAGAAGGCAATGACCCAGAAAAATATACAATAACTCGCCGTGCCAAAAAACTCAAAGGAGTATCTCCAAGAGACCGTGTTGATACAGAAGAATATTCTCGTCCAGTCCAGAATGATTATGCACGTGCCCGTCCACGCTGGGAATCTGCAGATCTTCCTGATCATGATTATGATTTTTCCATGGAGTCTCGTGTTGCTTCTTGGGTTGCTGAGCAGCAGAGGGTATCGGCCAAGCCACATTATGAAGCAGTGTGTCCGTGTGGATGTGGTTCTGAGGCTGACCATAGTTCTGCTTTTACCACAAACACCACAACATCCACAGCTCCAGCACCTTCCCCTGCAACTGCTCCAAATTTTGTGGCAGAGGTGACAGCAACAACAAATTCTCCAATATACACAGGCACTCATTCACCAGCTTACACTCCAAACGATTCACCATTGTATCCTCCATCAACACCAGAACATTATGTCCCACAAACAGATTATGCCCACCATGCCTTTAATACACCCGCTCAGGTCACCCCGCCTCCTACACCTCCAGAAGACGATGCAGATAAGTTCAAATGTCTCTATATGCTGGTCGATGCTGCTCTTAGTCAGTGGGAAAAACAGAATGCATCTCCACCTCCCCAGGATTCCCTCGACTCCACCCGTACCTACCTCAGCCTCTAACATGTTACCAATTATCATTACTTTTGTTATGAAAATTTTTGCTAGAAGAAAGAAATAAACGTTGTGGTTGGATTAGAACAGATTAGGATAATTAAAATTGAGAAAACAAATGACAAATTGTGGTTGCCCTGAAATATGCAACTAATAAAAATGATTAGTGACTGGTCCAATACCTCCTTTACTTTTTAATATAAACAATTCTGTTTTCACATGGACCAAAGTTGTATTAGAACAAATCCTCTCCTTCATGTTTTGTGATGTACTGAATGTTAATTGCTCATTCTTTTGTTGAACATTTTTATTGGTTTATACATACATACAATGTCTTGTTGGTTTTGGTTGTGACTTCTCATGCAATTTTAGTTGCAAAAGACAAACATATTTAATTTGGCTTTTATGAATGTTAGCAGATAACTGTAGGTTCACAAAAGGTGTTCCCTATTTGTTGTCAAGATCAAATTTAAGTAAATGTAGTTTCCAGCAATTTATGTTTTTGCAGGGAGCTGCTTAGCCTGTGCTCTCAGTCCATGATCTTGCAGCACCTGCTGAAACCTAGCAGTGATTTGTAGTTCAAACATACTAACCAAATACGTTTGAGGTAGCTCGTGAATTCACGTCCTCTATAGTACAATGGATTGCCTTGCAATGATACAGAGTTTTTAGTTTTCTTCACCCATTATTTTTAGGTAACCCTTGTATTATCACAATTTACCAAGATTAGTGTAGTTATAGAACATTCCAAATTGGTGTTCGTCTTCCCTTATAATGAAGCAGAGGCTTAGGACAGTTGTGATTTTCACTTAATGTGGAGGGTCTGCTGCACATAATTGCTTTTTTTTTTCATAAACCCTTAAGTGTTTTTCATGTTTGTCTCTTGTCACTGCTTCTTGTCTGTCTCTGTCTTTTATGACATATCGCTCAAATCTCCCAGAAAACGTGTATACATGTGCCTTAGTTTGTCCTATGCAGAGTTTAACTGATCTGCTTATCACACCAATTTTTATATTTAAGGTCATGTATAAGTACTTACTCTGTTATTATTGCCATAATAGTAAATTGTGAATGCTAAATCTTGCTAACCTCTTATTTTTAAAATTGATATATGTGTACCAGTTTGTAGGTAGAAATGAGTACATCTGAGAAATATAAAAAATGATACTCTGCTTGTATTTGCCGTCACTTAAAATTGTCATCTTTTATAATGATTTTAAATAATTTAAAACATATATCCGGTTGTAGTCATGTATATGAAGTAGCCGATTGTATAAGTTTCTGAGTTTTTCAAGTGGTTACTAGAAGTAGTTGTTGAGTTAGTGTTTACCATTTCACAGAATTTATATTATGTCATATCATAGTTGCATTGATGTGCATTATAATCATGCAGCTGTTTACTCATTTGTTTTTAATCTGGAGCTAATTGACTTTAGATTTAGATGTTATATTTTGGAACATTTTCAAATTATATTTAAGTAGTATCCCAGAATATAATATCATGTAAGAATTATAGATGTTTTATGTTGAGAACATTATATATGATGTTCAAGCTGTTGTAATGTTTGTGCATGCGATAGTGTGGGAGATTTTTCATATACCTGGAATCCAAAATGTTGACTTTGCTCATCAAATGAACCAGCAATTAAAATGCTGCTAAATTCTGTCATGTATAACATACTTTTTCACTCTTATCATTGGCAGTTTGGAGCTCAGTTTTAAGCCACTGGACCCTGTTCATGCTATTACTTATGGTGCTAATTTTACCTATTAGACTGGGTAGTTGAGGAGGGCCCAGTGACTATACCAGCATGTTGGTGAAGATTTGTTTAAGGGGGCATCAGTCCAAAAATATGCAATAAATGAAAACTAGTTTGATTTCAATCAAACTTTTTTGACGAGTTGTATATGAAAAAGATTTCATCTGGTCCAAGTCTCAGTATTGTAGTATAAATAGGGAGGGAGAAAAAAATATTGAATTATGTGTCAAAAATTTTTCCAAAATGGTAAAAAAACCAGCGTTGAATGTAATGAAACGCCATTTTCTGGGCGAGTCCCGGAGGCTCCCCCAGAAATTAACATCAAACACAAGTGTCAATTGAAATCATGTCTATGACTCGGCTATCACAATAGCATATAATACAAATATTTAATAATTAGTTTTATCCCCCCAAAAATTAGTTAAAAAAAATTATTATTTCTTTTTCATTTTTGTTTTTCTTATTTGTTTATCGGTCGATTTGCGTGAAATTTATACACTTGACGCACGTAAGCCTATCTGTAAGGGTGCCAGGAAATTGGTTGATGTCAACCTCAGCCACAGATGGCAGCCCCTTAGTTTATTTTTTATTTATTTTTGTTCAAGTAGCATAAACGTTTCTATAACTCTTTCATTTTTTTTCAATTTACATGAAACTTACACCTTATATGTGAAGTTTGTCTACAAATCTGTAAAAAGCATTTTTTCCTATATTTATTTATGATTTTATAATAGTAATAAGCCATGATATATTTGCATAATTTGTTTATGGAACTTTGACTATTTGTATTAGTAAAACTAAACATATTTTTAAAAATCTGCTAAACAGATCCTTTTATTATATGCTAATGTGATAAAAAAGTGTCATAGAAATTATTTAATTTGAAACTTGTGGTTGTAGTTTCGGTTTGAAAATGTGTAAAATTCGTTGAAAAAACTAAACAAAAAAAATCTCCCTTTCTATTTAGGCTGCAATACTGAAACTTGAAACAATTGCAGCCCTTATCATATACAGCTAGTCAAAAAAAGATTGGTTGACATTGAACAACTTATAAGAAATGCAGTTATGTGCCCTTAATTTCATATTGTAATATTTTTACAGTACATTGTATATATAATCACATTTCTTGATCCATCAGTTTAGCTGTTTATAGACTGTCTTTGGTGTCCAGGTAGGTAAAATCACCATTAGATGAATTGCTGGTGTGAGTGTTTGATAGTATCGCATGGATATATTTTTTAGCTTGGTAAAGGCCCACCTACATCGGCAGGGGAGATACCTACAGTACATATTGTCTCTTTAGCAAGCAATTGATGCAAGGAAATGAGAACATAATGATGAAAATTTTTGATATTTTTATACAAAGTACTAATCAACTCGGAATGCAGTTAATGGCCTTAGAGGTGTGTATATATATGTTGTGTGAGGCTTAGTGAAGGTTTGCCAAAACATAAATGTATAAATTCAGTTGTTGTAATTCTTTCTGTGAAGGATAGACATGCCTACAATAAAAGGTCTTATTTTGTATACCCAGTGCCATTGGTGTCTACATGCCATATACTAGTACATCAACTGCCATTGTGAATATTCCGTGCAGGTAGTGATAATCTTACCACTGTTAATAGTTCAATGAATATAAGAATGTTCAGAGTATTACAAGTATTAACCTATCACTTCCTCTCATCCTTTCACTTGGATCTGCAAAACTTATGCAAATACAGTATATTTTTTCCCTTTTTTACGACATTTTATATAATTAGGATTAAAAGAAAAATATAAATTGTAACTAATTAATTGCTTTTTGAGAGGTGGGTCTCAGCATTGAGAGGTGTGAGAGGAAGTAACAGGGTGATGCGATGAACGTAGTCCATTATTAGTGTGTCAACTGTACAGTCTGCAGAATTATTATATTAGAAAATAAAAGAGATATCAATGCAATTGTTTTTTTTATGTTTGACTCCTTGGCATGCATTTCGAAGCAGCCTCATTAGGTAGCTCGAAAAAATACTGAAGATCTTATTGTACTACTGTATTTTGTTATTATCACAAGAAGTATAATATTGGCAGGCAATGTGGCTTATCAGCTTGGAGAAAGGAAGTCTGTTGACTTGTCGCGCGTCTGGTTACCACATCCAATAATACTTTTAATGACATTGTACAACATACTCATCATTTGCTGCATTTGCTCCAAAATAAAAAACACTTAACATCACATGCAGTGGTGCCAATTTCCAGGTTCTTCATAGAATTTGAACTTCTAGAAAATTCATCATAGTTTCATACTAATTTGGCTGATGTCTGTGTCATCATGATGAGTTTGTGAGATGGTAGCTATACAAGACACTAAAACAAGCGTCGGTGTCCCTCAAACTTGACTGGGATGTCGACACATACTGTTGCATAATTCTACTGAGTTGGGACGTCCGCTCCTGGGTAACTTGTGTTCAGTATGCCATCTAATAATAACGAAGTTTCTTCGTTATTATTAAATGGTATACTGAACACAAGATCCGGGCTTGTTAGCACGGGCAGAGTCACTTTTTAGTAATGTCGGTCAATGGCACGAAGAAATTGGCCAAGGCTGTGGATAGGTGGGTTACAAGGAGCCGCTGTCTGCTTGACTGTCACCGTCGTGTAGACACAGTGGACGACCCAGTGTGGTCGTCCTGGCATAGCATGATGACCATCTGTGTAGATGCTGTGTTGTGAGTAACCTCTCCATGCAGATAGATCCAATTTGTCATGTCAAGAGGACACACACACAAGTGTTGTATGTCCACCACTAGCAAGACGAGGAAGTATCTCGGCCTTGTGAGTAACCAGTTCTTACGAACTACAGTGAAATGCAACAAGTAGAAGCGTTCAAGGCGGTGACAGCTGGAAAATCCCCTGTAACTGGGAGGTAAGAATTTTGATATCTTTGAAACGGTTGACATGTTGATTTGTTAAAGTTGTATTATATGGCTCAATTACTCACCTACAGTAAGTAGAGAAATAGTTATTGGCTAGTCTACGGGCTCACCATAGCCCGTGCTACTTGGAACTTTTTGTTCCAGGTAGCGAATCTTAAACAACAACAATATTGGCTAGTTTTTATCAAGGTGGAAAGTGTTTTGTTTTTAACTCATTTGTTGAGCGAGGATACGGTATCCATCCATGGTTAAACGGTAATGTTATATTCTACAAAAATTTGGAGCAGTGCCTGCAGGTAAATTTATCTGCTAATTTGTGTGGTTTTGTGACTAGAACTGAAGTAGAAATAAGCATTTATCTGATTATACCAGTGCCAACACAATTTTTGCTAACATATTTGCAGTCCGTTCTCTCGAGCGTTCCTAACGTCACGAAAGAGAGGTACTAAATTGC